TGGCCAACATGGTGAAATCCCATCTCTACTAAAAATACAAAAATTAGCCCAGTATGGTAGCACATGCCCATAAATCTCAGCTACTTAGGAGGCTGAGGCAGGAGAATCGCTTGAACTTGCAAGGTAGAGGCTTCTGTGAGCTGAGATCATGCCACTGCACTCCAGCATGGGTGACAGGGCAAGACTCTGTCTCAATCAGTCAATCAATGAATCAGTCAATAGGGAGTCCTTTCCTATTGCTTATTTGTGTCAGATTTGTTAAAAATCAAATGGTTGTAGATACTTGGTCTTATTTCTGCGTTCTCTGTTCTGTTCCATTGGTTTATGTGTCTGTTTTTGTTACCAGTACCGTGCTGTTTTGGTTACTGTAGCCTTGTAATATAGTTTGAAGTCAGGTAGTGTGATGGCTCCAGCTTTGTTCTTTTTGCTTAGAATTGTCTTGGCTCTACGGGTTCTTTTTTGGTTCCATATGAATTTTAAAATAGTTTTTTATAATTATGTGAAGAATTTCAATTGTAGTTTATTGTGAATAGCATTGAATCTGTAAATTACTTTGGTCAGTATGGCCATTTTCCCAATATTGATTCTTTGTATTCATTGGCCTGGAATGTTTTCCCTTTGTCTGTGTTCTCTCTTATTTCCTTGAGCCGTAGTTTGTAGTTCTCCTTGAAGAGGTCCTCCACTTCCCTTGTTAGCTGTATTTCTAGGTATTTTATTCTCTTTGTGGCACTTGTAAATGGGAGTTCATCCATGATTTGGTTCTCTGTTGTTGGTGTATAGGAATGCTTATGACTTTTGCACATTGATTTTCTATCCTCAGCCTTTGCTGAATTTGCTTATCAACTTAAGAAGCTTTTGGGCTGAGAGGATGGGATTTTCTAGATACAGGATCATGTCATCTGCAAACAAAGACAGTTTTACTTCCTCTCTTCCTATTTGAATGCTCTTTATTTTTTTCTCTTGCCCGATTGCCCTGGCAGCATTTCTATAACTATGTTGAGTAGGAGGGGTGAGAGAGGGCATCTTTGTCTTGTGCTGGTTTTCAAGGAGAATGCTTCTGGCTTTTGCCCATTCAGTGTGATATTTGCTGTGGGTTTGTCATAAGTAGCTCTTATTATTTTGATGTATGTTCTTTCGATATCTAGTTTATTGAGAGTTTTTAACATGAAGCGATGTTGAATTTTATTGAAGGCCTTTTCTGTGTCTATTGAGATAATCATGTGTTTTTTGTGTTCTGTTTATGTTATGAATTACATTCATTGATTTGTGTATGTGGAACCAAATTATGCTAATTTTTAACCTAAAATTCTTTCATACTTCTCATCTACAAAAAAAAATTCTTGCTTATATCATGTTAGTAAAGATCCTTACCAGTCTGATCTCATCTTCTTTTTCCCGGAAATCCTATTATTTCTCTGACTGTATATTGTTTTTTGTATACATGTGTTCCTTACATGTATTTTCTTGCCATTGCTGTTTTTCCTCTTTAGTATTAATGCTTTCTAAATTTTTATTAATCACCTACTATGTGCAGGTACTGTCCTAGGCTGTGTTGGAAATACAAATGAATAAAACTTGAGTAGCACTTTTTTGGGGATTTTTCCCTTAAGTTTTCCATTTATGAAAAACCCATTCTTCAAAACTTAAGTAAAGCTTTTTCTTATCTATCAAGTCTCCTCACGTGATGCCAGCATAGATTAATCCCTCTTTGCCTTCAAAGTACTTTTAATATCTGAGTTATGAAATTTATCACAACCCTCTTTTTTTTTTAAATCAATACCTGTGTCCTCTTCATTCGTATTGCTTAATGGCGGGAATTATATCTTTTGTTAAACCACTTTGTTGAGTTATGATTGATATACAAAATGCTATATATATTTAATAGAAACAACTTGATGAATGTGGAGTTAAGTGTATACTCATGAGAACGTTACCACAATCAATGCTTGTAAACATAAGAGATTCTTCTTATCATTGTATTCCCTCTTTTTCTTTTCCAGTGCCCAGCAGTGACTTTAAAATAATTGATACTCACTAAATGAATGCTGAATTGAAAAGTTGATTGAGAGCCAAAGTAGAAACCGAGAAGGATTATCCAGAAAGTGAGGAGGCAAATCAGGAGACAGTCGTATTACCAAAGCCCAGAAACGTGTTTCAAGAAAGAGGGCAGTAGGTGATGTCCTAAGCTTCAGAATTGGAAGAAGCAGTGCAGACTGTAAATAGATTATTGGATTTGGTGATTAAGAGGTTGTTGGTTATCTTAAGAATAAGTTCCATAAAGTAGTAAGGGTACATATCAGATAGCAGACTGAGAAGTAAATTCTTTCCCTTAAGTATAATTTTTAGCTGATATTTTTATAGAAATTGGCTGGCAGACACATTGAAGATACATAGTCTAAATAAAGATCTAGAATCTTGCATATATTATATTGATTTAGGGAGGATCCATATTTTTTGTAAAGTTAAATGGATAGTGGACTTGACATTCTTTTAAGAAAATTTAGAAACCTAATCACTATTTTCATCTCGTTAGAAGTCTACCACAACTCCACATAGAGATCACACAATCTTTTCATCAAAGTTAGTGATATTTTGCATGGCAGAAATTATTTTAACCTGGAAAACGTGGCTCCTTCTACTTTCTATCCTTGTTAGGCTGGTAATGGATAGTATATGTCTAAATATATAAAATGAATGAATTTTGAAAACTATCCCTGAGTAATTGTATAAATGATTTGATTTTTCACATACTATATTGATTATTTGGAAGACATACTTAAAATTTCTGTAATCAGAATGCCTTTTAGAATAGATCATGTGTTATAGTTTTAACTGACAACCTTTTTTTCCTTGGTGTTTTATAAAATGATGATGCAGCCCCAATTGGTAGCATATGAGATTTGATAAAATACAGTAATATAGTAGGAAGCATTAAAGTTTAGAGACTGCAAAAATATTTTAGTTTTAATATAATTATTGTTGTGCTACACTTTTGGGGGCTATAGATGAGATCTTCTCTCTCTCTCTCTCTCTCTCTCTCTCTCTCTCTCTGTCTCTGTTTGCTATGCCAGTGGGTCATGCATAAAGCTTATCTTAATAATACGCTGTTAAGCGAAGGTGAGGGTGGGAATGGGGAAGAATAAATTTGTAGGGAACCTGTTTTATGTTACCTGAAATAATGACTTGGTGTGTGCAGAACAAATCTTAGTTAACCATAATTTTCATCAATATTGTAGAAACATTATGAGTCAATGATCCATGTAAGGGAATAATTTCTGATCTTGCAGTCAAGAGTGCATTGACTGGTTCATTTTTTTCACAGACATGTATTGTGTATCTATTAATACTGTGATACCTGACAATTTACTCAGCACTGTGAACGATCTTTCATTGTTCTAAGCATGTTTCAACAACAAAGATTGATAGTCAGTTCCTAGTGCCTGAAACCTGGTCTTTCTTTATGTATGTTGTCCAATTGAGAGATAATATTTGTAGTTTCTTTAATGAAGAAGTGGCCTGTTGGAGAGCTGGGTGCTTGGTCACAGCAAGCACCCAGTGAATGTTTGTTGACTGTTGAATAGTATATGTTTTAAGTGGTTAACTAGGAAATGGATGGGCTTATAGTTTTAAGTGATTCCATGAGAAAGGATTGGCATTGTAGCTAATTATTACTGAAAATAGAACATACATTGAGAACCGTGATGAGAATAATGGATGTTTCTCAGTTCCTTTTGGGCATTACTAAAATAAATTAAAAACATAAAACCTTAAAGTTTCTCAATAATAGTTTGACTTTGACTTTGAAAATATTTCTAGAGATACTATGATGAATCAAAAATTGTGGAATATAACAAGTTCACGTAAATCAGTTTCAGCAAATTGGCAGTCTTGTCTTTGAAATCAAATAATTAAGTAGAAAATATATCTATGCTTGTGTTCATTTATTTTAGTAATGTCTCAATACCTAATCCTTGAAGAGTGAAGCAACAGTATAGTGAGAGGGAAATTGCAATCTGATGATGCATACTTTTTTCCTCTGGTAACTGAAGGTTAAATGGGTAGCAAGCAGAATGCCTTAAACAAGATTGGTATATTGATTAAAACGCTGATTTAACAGCTCGCAGTTTCCCCTTGGAAACCTGGAAAAGATAAGCCAGCTGCTGTCTAGGAGTGCTCAGTGTCCACTGAGAGTACACTATCTATCATCACAATATGGTGATGAGAGGTGTTTTATGTTTGTGTTAATTTCCCCCACTAAATCAGTAATTATTACAATCCTGTCCCTGCTGTTTACCCTGCAGCTGTTTTTCCATTTGTCGAGAGAGCGGGTGTTCTCTGAGGACCGCACACGTTTCTATGGTGCAGAAATTGTCTCTGCCTTGGACTATCTACATTCCGGAAAGATTGTGTACCGTGATCTCAAGGTAAAAAAAAAAAGTAATCAAAATTTTTTTTTGCAGAGACTATAGGGACAAACATAAAGTAATTACAAAGTGGTACAGTTTTGAGAAAAACAGCTTTTAGTTGGGAAAAAAGCACTATGTTTAAAAATTTAGTTCACTACATTTGGAGGAAATTTTATTCACTAACATGTATGTAGTTGATTTATGTGTGAGTTTTTGATTTGCAAAGTAATTTCTACTCGACTGCTCTGATCAAATAAAAATGTTAAACATAAGTCAAATAACTTTACAAGTTACATTTAAAACAAGTTTTATTATGTTTACAGAAATGTTTTATGAAGAAGCTTAATAAGACTATTGGAAGGAACATATTCATTTTGATTTTAGCATTGACTTTGGGTGGTTTTAAATACCTGAAGCGTTTTAACATAATAACCATTATTAATGTGCCTAGTTTTTTTATTTATGAAAGCACTCTATTTGTTCTGTTGGTAATAGTGTCTTGACTGCTCTGAGTTCCATTATGATGAGACCCTTAGGATAGCTCGGGATTGGCAAACTTTCTGTAAAGGGCAGATAAAATAATTTAGGCTTTGATGTTCATATCGTCTCTTTTGCAAACTACTCAACTCCATCAGTGTAGGGTAAAAGCAGCCTCAGATAATATGTAAATGAATATGTTTGGCTATGTTCCAGTAAATGAAATAGGCGATGGGCTCAGTTTAGTCCACAGGTTGTCATTTGTTGATCCCTGGAGTAACTCATACAAGGTAATAGTAATTCTCATGACAGTGTTATGAATTAGGTTGACTACATTAAAGGAATTTGTGCCAGGACACATTTTGAATAAATTGAATGTTACAGTCTTACTTTTGTAAGAAGCAAATCGTATATAAAATTTGACACAGAATTGCCTTATTGATCAAATACTATTTCATGTAACGTATTATAATGATTGGTAGAAACAGAAGTTACATGAGGCTTTTATGAAATTCTGTTTTGTTTGAAATGAGGTATATAGAAGCTATAAGATGTTGTTATAGGAAAAACTGAACTATGTACCTTTAAAACATCTAGATCAGAGATGACCAGAGATGTCTAAGTGCCAAAACAGGCTACAGATTAATACAAATTAGTAGTTTGATTGTATTTAGCCTGAACCTTTTTATAACTAGGAATATGGCAGAATTCAGCATTCATGTTACCTGCATGGCCAGATAATCCTATACTGTCTAAATGTCTTAAATATCAATTTTTTTGAAGGAATTAGTTATGTGGTATGACAAAATATGTGTTAACTTTCCAAATATACTTAGAAGTAGTTAGCTCTGCTCTTCCTGAGTCCACTTCTCGCATTCCCACTACGTGTTTTATGAATCTTATTTGTAGGGGTGAAATGGGGAAGGATAGAAACAGGGATGCTTAGATTTAGGGCAATTAGAACAATTTTAAAGTAATAGGTAACATCCAGAAAGCTTAAATTCAAAAGATTGAATTATTAGCTTAAAGACTGCTAAAGAAGAGAATATTCATTTGATTGCAGTATCGATTATGGTCTTGGTCAGTATTTCTTTAATCATTTCTGATCAAATGAATCAACATATTGGGGGGCGGGGTGTGTATGTATTTTTGTTGTTGTTGTTGGGATGGAGTCTTGCTCTGTTACCAGGCTGGAGTGCAGTGGTGCCATCTTGGCTCACTGCAACCTCCAACTCCCTGGTTCTGGCGATTCTCCTGCCTCAGCCTCCTGAGTAGCTGGGATTATAGACACATGCCACCACGCCCAACTAATTTTTGTATTTTTAGTAGAGACGGGGTTTCACCGAGTTGGCTAGTCTTGATCTCCTGACCTCGTGATCTGCCCGCCTCAACCTTCTAAAGTGTTGGGATTAGGCATGAGCCACCGTGCCCAGCCAACATATTGGTATATTGAAGCTCATTAAGTGAGTTCCACTGCCCCATTCTTTCTGATGATGGAATTAGACTAAATTTGTTAAACTGTAATATAAAATATTTACTTTGTTGAACTGTAATATAAAGTACTTACTTTATATATGAATATCAGTCAATTAGTTACCAAATGCACAATTCACCAAGTTTACTTGACAATTAAGTGGTCTCTGCTCCCTGAGTTTATTTCTTAAAAAAAAAAAGCCTCAACTTAAAGATCTAAGTATATATTTAGCATAGGATAGAAACTGTAAAGGTACACCTAGAAAAATCCATGTAACATAAGAAATCAAACATCTAAAACTTACACAAACGTTATTTGTATCCATAGTAACATGATTATTTATAATACAATGATGTATTTTAGGTAAGATCACAGAAGTTTCGAGGTGGTCTTTAATTTATAGGTCATGTCCTTCAAACCTAGAGGCCTAGTAAATGACTTACTAAAAGTAATGACCTAAGTTGATAGCAGTAAGAATTTTTGGAACTCTTGAATCCTAGCTCCTTATTGAGTGTTCTTGTCACTATATCATTCTGACTTCTAGAGTTGAAATGAAATTATAGTGGGGGGATGCATATGGGGGGATGCAGTGGATTAACTTTGGGAATCTTTGTAAGCCTAAACTGCAAATTAAACTGCAGAAGGTAAGAGAATGAGTGTTTCAAATATATTTATACCAGATGTATTAAAGAATATTATCACGAACTGATTTAAGTACTCGCTTTGATCAGTCTCAGATCTGTCTCTGTTCTCATTACTAATAACTTTGACTTTGTTCAAATGCAAATCCAATTGCTATGCCTGCAGTAGCAGCACTTCTCAAGTAAATCCGTACCCGTTTGCCACTGTCTCATTCAGCATTGGAGACAAAGCCTTCTTTTATGTGCAGGTTAACTTAAGATATTTTTCTCAGTTCCTGTTTCCTAATAAATTAGTGTTTATAGCAACAGAAAAATTATTGAAAGCTTCGTTGTACTTTAGAAAGTAAGTTCATTCAATTTGTCAGTACACATCATGTAATGAAGTTTTATTTTTATTAAGGACCCAAATTCCTTGTGATTACTTAAGGAAAACTGCTGTTGCTTCATGATTGCCTAAAAATTCGAAGAAATCTCTTCAAAGACTTCTTCAGTAGTGCAAATTGTGTGTTAAAATCTTCTTTTCTGCTTAACTTATTTTACAAATACAACCAATGACCATGGCCATCTAAGCACAGCGTAGGCTGAACAGGGTCATTTGCAAAGGTGAATATAACGATACTGGAATTCATTAAGAATTAATTTCTCGCTAGTTTATGGGAGAAAATAATACATAACTTGTTGCTATATCCTATTTGTAGAACACTTAATCTTGTTTCCTACCTAATGTGAGAATAGTTAACCATTTACAGTATTAATATGAGAAAGCACCAAACAAATTTAGATACTTTCTAACACTTAGTAATGGCACGAAGGGGTGACTTCAGGGAGTTTTACCATAGCCCTCCTCGACCTCGTCAGCTCCTTCAGGTTCACCTCAAATAAATGCAGTTTGGATGGGAAAAGCATCCTTGCTTTGCTTGCTGAGTCTCAAGACACTTTCCCCAGCTCCCGCTGCTAACCGGACGGTCACTGGATTCCTCCTATATAGAAATCTTAAGCCACTGCTCTTCATTCCTTCCACTTCTACAATCAAATTGTACTGGTATTCAACTATGTTCCTTATTCATAATAAATTTGTAAATAGCCTGGCAACCTATTTGGGGTCGATTTACATGATGAGTCCTTTTCTGGATTAAGAGGTTGAAGTGAAGAAACGTTTCTCTTTCGGAATTTCAGCACACTTTCCTCATTCCGTGGCCATTCAGTTTCTGCAGGTCAGCTTGTGACATTTTGGCACTGGATGCCCATAAACTTAAAACTGCAATTTTCAAGTAGGAATTCCTTACTGCCTTCTTGGGCCTGAGTGAGTCTTGGTGCCTAAAACTGAGTTTGATGTATGTGGGCTCAGATGCAGTGTTAAGAGTGAGTGACAGGAATTGTTTATTGCTATTGCTGCAGTAGTCATCGGAGTCCTCAGGAACTGCTATTTTCATTCCTTTGGTTAATCACAATGTCAGTCATTTAATTAAAACGATACCATATGTATGGTGTTTTTAAACTTTGAAATATTTAGTCTGGCCTACATTCAAGCATAGCTTCTCAGATTGGGTGCTACAAACAGGTTACAACCAAGCCTTGGCAGAGAAGCCTCCAGGCCAGTGAGTTCTGGTTTCAAGCATCTTGTCCAGTGAACCTGGTATGCCCCACCACTTTCAATCTTTATTTTACTGTGAAATGTAAAAGGTTGGGAAGCATTGTATTAAGACAGCTAGGATTTTTAAAGTTTAATTTTATGCTAGCCATCAGCAAGAACAGGAGGAAACATAGTAATTTTTGTTACAATTTTGTGCCCACTGAGCCCAGGAAAAAAGGTTTTAAAATCTACCATTTCTCCATATATGCACTGAATCCAGACCTTCTGTCAAATAATGCCTGTCCACTTCAGCTGGACCAAAAATGTTGCTATTTTTTTTTTGGTGGAAATTCTATGAGGAATTCGTCTATGAGAATTTGAGAAAAAATCAGACAAATTCTATGTCTGCTTTTTTTTCTCTCCTCAAAAACATGAACTTGTAGATAACAACCCTCTGATAGAAATAGTAAGCACTACTTAGATATTTAATATACAATCTTGTTTCTTGTGATTTCATATTTGACTTCATCACTACTTTTGTTAGTGGATGCATCCATAAGCATAAGCATGCTGCCCTACTCTACATCTTGGAGACTAAGATTGACTGAATATCACACAGATGCGTGTAAAGTTTCATAAATTTAGAGTACCTGAGCAGTCAGTGACAATATGCATTACATATTCTGTGGCTGACAAAGGGAAACAGGAAAGTGATTTAGAAGAGAAGACTAAAGAAAGATCATTTGTAAATTTTTTTCTTCCTCCTTTACACAGTAGAAAGATTCCTAAAAATGTATGACTACTGTAAATAATGTAAACACTACTTACATTATGTTAGTGTTAAATGAACCAACACAGTGATTTCCAGATGTTACTGATATATCTAGGCCATTGATACGCTTTGGAAAGACTTTCTGTGCAGTCTGCAGGTTTACGAATCACCCTGCTAATGGTTCCTGTATTTTACAGAAACTCTGTTAATGCATCTTGAGTAAAATTATCATGTATTGTATAACAGAACTGGACATTTTATTATCTCCTGATTTATCTTTATACAAGATTAGATTTGGGAATATTGTTTTTTAAGCTAATGCGTCTCTATTTCATATTTTTGGTGGACAAGTTTTAGTTATTCATGCTCAGCAAAATGACATTTTAGGGTGGTGAGAGAACACAAAATAATTGATAGAAGAATGTGGACACTACTTCAAAATAACTGAGAAATTATGAGGCTGGGCACAGTAGCTCAAGCTTGTAATCCCAGCACTTTGGGAGGCAGAGTGGGCTGACTGTTTGAACCCAGGAGTTCGGGACCAGCCTGGGCAACGTGGCAAAATACCATCTCTTAGAAAAAGAAAGAAACAAAGAAACAAAAACTAGCGGGGCATGGTAGTGCTGCACGCCTGTGTACTCAGGAGGCTGAGGCGGGAGGATCAATTGAGCCTGGGAGGTTGAGGCTACAGTGAGCAGTGATTGTGCCACTGCACTCCAGCCTAGGCAACAGAGCGAGACCCTGTCTCAAAAAAAAAAAAAAAAGAAAGAAAGAAAGAAAATTATAAAACATTTGTGTTTTGTTTTTTTGAGACAAGATTTCACTCTGTCACCCAGGCTGGAGTACAGTGGCACCATCTCTGCATATAACAGCCTCCCCACACGCCTGGGGCTCAAGTGAGCCTCCCGCTTCAGCCTCCAGAGTAGCTTGCACCACAAGCACATGCCATCATGCACAGTTAGTTTTTTCTATTATTGGTAGAGACGGGGTTTCACCATGTTACCCAGGCTGGTCTCGAACTCCTGAGCTCAAGCAATCTGCCTGCCTCAGCCTCCCAAATTGTTGGGATTACAGGCATGAGCCACTGTGCCCAGCCTGTGTTTTGTTACTTAAAATAAATTATTGCATATGGAAAAATATTTGTAATACAGTCATTTGGCCGACAGAAATGTTTTATGGGGTTCCACTCTTGAACTTTGTTGTTTTCTTTAAAATACAGTGTTGTTTAGAAGAGCCCACATCATGACAATTTACAAATAAACCATGTTTTAGGGAAAGATCAGTTCATTTATTCAGTTTTTATAGGATGTTAAGTTTGCCTTTAACGTCTCATTTGATTTTCAAAACTATCACGTTGGATTGTTACTGTTATTTACTTTTGTTTTATAGATGAAATTGAAGCATGTAGAAATTAATAATATACCCAAGGTCACACAGTGAATAAGGGTTAAAGCTCAAATTTTAATATGAACCCTCTGACTTAAACCCATAGTCTTATCCATTTTCCTCTCTACTGCCTCCCAGACAGTATACTACCGTTCCCCATGGCCATGACCCTTACTGCATCTCTCACAATCATCCCTTAGGCTTATCTTACTTCTTACTATGTCATTGTAACGTTTTTAAAAGCTATTTTGTAAAACAAGTAGGGTAACTAGCCGTCTTGGTTTCCCCAGGATAGCCCAGTTTTAGCACTTACATGTCCTGCATTCTGAGAAACCCCTCGTTTCTGGGCAAACTGGGAGTTGGTCACCCTCAGCCTATTCCTTACCCAAACCTATCCTTGCATCTCATTTCATTCTTCATCTCACAACCATGAACTGAGGGTCAGAGATGAAATACGAGGTTACAGAATTAGATGCAAGTCAGAATTTTACACAAACATACACACACAGAGAGCTTGGTCTTAAAAAGCAGTGTTTATACATTTTGGTCTTTCTGTATCCAGCCACTTCAGAAATAACTTTGAGAAAATGTGGAGAAATAGTGCATCCTGTCTGTCGTGTTTCCATGAAGACTTGCCCATGCACACAGAGCATGTGAGGAGATTACACACCAAACTAACGGGGATGGAATGGTGTAGAAAGTACATTCACATTTTGTTCAATGTTATGTATTATTTGGAATTTTTACAAGAATTGTTAAGGTATTGTATTAGTAAAAGAGTATTCACTAAAGATCTTCAGCATTTTATGTGCTATATTTATATATTAAGCATATTTTTAAAAATTAATAACAGGGCATATACATTTTTATTCAGTAAAACAACAGAAGCTTTAGTATATACTTAACGTTTCTCAATATGGCGAAGTGGGAGGGAGGAAGAAGAGTGGTTGTTTGAAAGAGGTGGAAAAAAGAGAGAAACCAGAGGCTGAGAAGAGACAGACCAAGGCAGAAAGAGAAAATAGGAGAGATGAAGACTCTTGATGTTTCTGATTGGTTTCGGTATACCAGACTTACTGTCATTTGTGCAAATTGGGCTTGATTTATAGGTTCTGGATGGTAGAGAAGTATTAGGAAGATGCAAGATAACTGAGTTTGGATAAAATAAAAAATTTTGATTTGGTCAGGCATGGTGGCTCATGCCTGTAATCCCAGAACTTTGAGAGGCTGAGGTGTGTGGATTACTTGAACCCAGGAGGTCGAGACCAACTTGGGCAGCAAAGTGAGACCTCGTCACTATAAAAAATTAAGAAATTAGCCAGGCATGGTGGCACGTGCCCGTGTTCCCAGCCATTCAGGAGGCTCAGGTGATCACACCACTGCACTCCAGTTTGGGTGGCAGAGACTCTGTCTCAAAAAAAAAATTTTTTTTAAAAAGGTTCAGCAGTATATTTAGGGTTCATTCAGCTTTCTGTAGAAAAAAATTGAAGCCAGACTTACCTCTGTGAGATATGCTATACATGAAATGTGTATCAAGCGTTTGGTTTAGTTACATAACACATTGAAGTACTATAAAAAAGGACTTTTGTTTATTCTCATCTTTGCTTCAGTGAACACAACTTGCCTAACTGTATTTAGTGTCTGGTTTATAAGACATTTGACAATATGGCAGAGAGTATGATAACATATTTTATATGACTGATACCTGTTTATGTTCTTAAGTGGAGATCTGTTTTAAATTCGATATTAACGTCAGAGTCGAGGTACATTCTTTCAAATGTCATCACATTAAGGAGTAGAATAAGAATCTATTCCTTAAATGAAAGTTAACAACCATTTATCCTGTTAATACACTTTTCACATTTTATATATTTTTTCTGTATGACTAAAGAAATACCTTTAGGTTGTGTCTACATGAGTAGGCAAAGTTTTATGGGCCCTGAATACATAAGGCTGTATGATCACAACTCAGAACTCATCTGTATCTTTGTGTGATGATAATCATAATCTTAGGTTCACATTAGCTCAAGGGGAACTGGCTGATTACATTGTTATTTCTAATTGTGTTGGCTTTGCACAAATTCCTCCTCTCTTACGTTTCATAATTTTCCGCTGGAGGCACATGATCCTGTTACTTGGTTAAATCTTTAAGATTTTCTTTGGTGTTTTGAATTAATGGATTCAAAGAGAGTCCAACTTTATAACATTTATGCTATATATTTTTATTAACTGTTGAATGTTTGACTTTGATATTCTTTTTCTTTTTATGTTTAAAAGGGTTGGTATTTCTTAATTACAAAGAACTGCAAAAGAGGATATCGCCTTACCTTACAAAATAAGATTTAGGTTTGATTTACAAGCACCACCAAAAAACATTTCTGTAAGTGAATATTTTATAATAGCAATAGATTCCCAGGAGAAATTGTTGAAAACCATCTGTAAATATCTAGAAGAGGATGCTCATCTCTTTGGGATTGTTTAGATCACATTTTCTTTTTTTAAAAAAGAGAGGATTGATGTCTACTTTGAAAAGTTGACTAGGCTTTAATTTTCAGAACTTACAAAATAATGGCTCTTAAAGCAGTATCACTCATTCCTATTGGTTTAAAAATAGAAAATTTTATCATCCTGAAGTGTTTGATAAAACATGTTTCTTTTTACACGTGAAACAACAGGGTTTGTAAGTACTGAAAGTTCTATTAGCTACAACTACTATGTCCTGTTTCCAAAATACCTTACTCAGCATTCAGTAATTTTTCAAAATGGTATTTTCCTGTTGCTGAAGACTGTAGAACAAATTATATCATTTTTCTTAATACACAGTTGGAGAATCTAATGCTGGATAAAGATGGCCACATAAAAATTACAGATTTTGGACTTTGCAAAGAAGGGATCACAGATGCAGCCACCATGAAGACGTTCTGTGGCACTCCAGAATATCTGGCACCAGAGGTAGGCTTCGGCTCCACTAATAGGAAAGTAACATTGACATAATGTTTTGCAAAGTAAACCATTTAAGCATTAAAAGTTAACTCTAGTGTCTACTACTTTTATCTATATTTCAACCTGAATCAAAACTTTTTTGTTCTTAATTTGCTATAATGGGATATTGTAGGACCAGGAATATATTGAAATTAAATTTTATAAACTATAAGCACAAAGGTACTAACTAAAGTCGATTAAATCAATTTTTATATCTTGGCCATATCCATTTTATTTTGGCTATACCCATTTTGATTCATTTATTAAAATAGAATAATTGATTTCAGCAAGAATATTTATATTTTTATAAACCATCTTGGACTTTCCTTAGAAACAACAGTGATTTTTAATTTATAGTATTGTCGGTTTATTTAAAATTATTTTATTGGGAAAATTATTGAAATGACAGTAGCTATATTTTGGAATTTATGTCAAAGGAAGCTCCAAAGTGGTAACCTCCCTGTGCTAAGGGTTCCACAATAATTTATTAATTTGTTTATTCAACAGATATTTATTGTATATCTGCTGTATATCAGGTACTTTTCTGGATAATGGGGTTACAGGCGCAAGACAGAAAAGGATCCTAGTCTCAGGGAACTTAGCTTTCAGTGGAGGGAGACAATGAAAATAAAAAAAGAAATAACATAATGTCTTAAGTTTCATAAACAAAAAAAAAAAAAAGCACGATTAAATGTAAGGGTGTGGTGTGGCTGTTGTAGATGGTGTTCCAGTTACTAATGCTGTGTAACAAACCACCCTAGTATTTATCAGTGGAAAACAACCATTTTCTATAAAATAATGGATTTTCTGAATCAAGAATGCAGATGGGCACAGCAAGGACAGCTAATTTATGCTCCACTACATATGAGGTCTCAGCCTGAAAGACTTTACAGTGAGAGCATGATTCTATGGCTGGAGACTGGAGTCATCCGGAAGCATCTTCACTCACATGTCTGACAGTTCTGCTGGCTGTCCACTAGTAACTTATTTGGGCTGTTGGCAGGAGCACTTATATGTAGCCCTTCTGTCCATGGGTCTGGACTTCCTCATAATGACAATTTCCATGCAGTCAGACTTCTTTGGCTCTGAGCCCTAAAAGCAAATGTCCTGGGGAACACGTTAGAAGCTGCATGGTGCCTTTGTTTCCACCTAGTAAACCATCAAGACTATTAACTTTTTAAAAGTTTGATTTCACAGATATTTTTATAATTGGAGTGCAATTCATATACCATAAAACTTATTCTTTAAAATACACACTTTGGTGATTTTTAGTACGTTCATAGAGTTGTAGAACTGTCACCACTGTTCAATTCCGGAATATTTTCATCACTCCAGCAAGAAACCCCATACCCATTAGCTCCTCATTCTTCCTTCCCCCGCAGGCAACCACTGATGTACTTTTTGTCTCTATAGATTTGCCTGTTGTAGACATTTCATACAAATGGGATCATACAGTATGGAGTCTTCTGTGACTGGCTTCTTTCCCTGTTTTAGCATGTTATTGTTATTTCATTCCTTTTTATGGCTGGATAATATTCCATTGTATGGATAAACCACATTTCGTGTATTTGTTCAGCAGCTGATGTACATTGGGTTGCATCCATTTTTTGGCTACTGTGAATAATGCTGCTGCTCTGAACATTTGTTTATGCATCTCCTTTTATGGCCTATTTTCGGAAGTCACACAACATCATTTCTGTCATACCCTTACTCCCCGAAGCAGTTGTAAGCCTGCACACGTTTAAGTGGTGGAGACAGAGACCACACCTTTACGTTGCAGAAGAGCATGTGAGATAGGAGATACTGCCACAGCCATCTTTGGAAAATAACATCTTTCACAGACAGTATGTTCAGGGAAAGTGATGGTTGATGGAAAGAGATGGTACCTATCACAAAGGTAAAAGGGAAGAGCTTTCCAAAGAGAGGAGCTAGTGCTCCATTTCCCCTCAAACTCCAATACAGTTTTTGTGGCTATAGGCAAATAGGGAGGTGTTAATACTTGATGTGTGAGGGTAACTATTTAATGAGCATCTACTATGTGCCACATGCTGTGTAAGTGCATTACATCTATTTCATTTAACATTTGGAATAATCTTTGATGATAGGTAGCAAATACTATTTTTTTAAAGGTGAGGGGACATGAGATCAGAATGTTTAAATGTTATCTGTACACAACCGGGAAGTGGTGGAAGTGTAATGAAGATTCTAATTAGTTTGTCTGACTATAAAGCCCACTTTTAATTTTTAAACTACATATGTCCTGGCCTCAAAAAATCCTAATTTGAAGACCACTTACAAATATAAATAATCATAATTTTTAAATGAATACTTTGTAAATTTCCTGCCCAACAGGAAAATGTAATCAAAAGAAATTAGGAAGTAAAATCCCCAATGATGCTCGCATTCCTTATACATATAGTAACTCATGCTAGTCTATTATTCTAATAGTTCTTTTCAACTAGGGATTACATTTACATTTCAACAATGTTAAATTATTGTAAATAAGTGCTACTATTTAAAATACAATAAATTTCCTACTATTTTCTTGCCAAAAATATAATTTTCTCTCTTTAAAAATCTGTAGTTTAGAATTCTCTATTTTTGTGGTTGAATTAGGTAAAACTTTAGTAACACTGTTTCTTGTTTATTCAAATAAAATATTTTCTAGAATAGAATTGTTTTTTTAAATGTCACAAAAAAATTATTTGTTTCTCTGGAGTTCAGTTACCCCTGCTAGAAATTTGCTATGGAAAAAGATATGCCATATTTAGAATAACAAAATTAGTTGTGTCACAATTAGGGTAAATTATTTCTAAAGAAGATGAATACATCTCATTTAAGAAGCAGATGATCTGAGAAACAAAGATATTATTTCCTACGCAATGTCATCAGCTGAAGAACAAATTAAGAATTTAATGCAAGAAGAGTACACTTGTTTCTGAATGGGAAGTTTATAGTTCCCACAAAATTATGAGTTTCTCTTTAAAGACAAGAAAACATTTCTGTATACCTTTTTTAATACTTCAAAAGTCTGATCTTTAAAAACAGTTTATATACCCATCCTTGGTTGATACACAGTGATTCATAATTAAAATCTTGACACCATGTCTTTATAGGGAAGAGTGATTATTGTTGTTATTATTTGAGTATGAGAAATCTTGAAACAACTTATGAAATTGTAGCTTTTATATTTTAAATGTTGTGTCACATCTTGCGTTTTTAAACTCTGACTGTGTTTACCCTTAAAAAATAAGAATTAATTCCTTTATTCTGGTCTTCAGTGGCACCATTTTACTGAAGAACACTCATTCATTCATCAAATAATTATTTATTGAATATTTTTTAAGTATCAGGCGTTACCTTAGGTACTGGGAATACAATGATGGTAGAAAATGTCTTTTGCCCTCAAGTGGCTTGCTGTTTACTAAGGTGATAAGTTATGGAAAACAGTTATTACTGTGCAAGAAAATAACTGTTTTACTAGTTCCATACAGTGGAATGGAAGGAAGAGGGAACGTGCTTAAGCCTGCAGGGAGGGTCCGGCAGCGGAAAAGGGGAAGCAGGAGAGGAGGCTGGACACATAGATAGGGATTGAAATGTAACAGAGTTTTAGATTTGATCCTGTGGGCTAGGGAAAATCACTTGTGAATTGAGAGCAAGGCGATGCTGTGATCAGATTTACGTGGTCAGTGTTAGGGAGGGACTGGCAGGAGCTGAAGCCAGCCTCTTCTTTTTACCTCAGATGGTGTCTCTCACTTTTTTTGGACCTTGAAATTTCTAGTACATTACCATTATTAATGCTGGGCTTTTTGTGACAGTATTAGAAGTAGTAGTTGTGTATCAAATCTGTAATACATTCTTGACTACTGCTTCTCATGTGAATGACTCACTGTCAACATTTTCCCTTCTGTCTTTACAGAAGATTTGTTTACACATTATGTAGGAATCTTGCTGCAACCTATACTTCACCTAGCAATAGTGTTTCTTCACCTTTTATGTTTTTTTAATCTGGTATAAAGACGGGTGAAGGGTATTTTGAAGATACTTCACAAAGAGTGTTAAAAATCAGTTTAAAGCCAGTTTATTAAATGTTCAATGTCAGATACATTAAGTGAACTTAATTTGTTTCTTGTGGCAAATGAGGAAAACATAAAACTTACAGTATAAATGTGCCATTTGTTGAAATACAGATTTTTAAGGTATTGTTCTCTTATCTCTTTTGAGGAAGGATGCAGCTTACAATGCAGTTTTCCAACTTGGGAAGCATTTAACAATACTGTTAATGTAGAAGAGGCTAGTTTTTGTTTTGTTTTGTGTTTTTAACAGGTTACAGAGGTTCAGTTCTAGCTGGCATATGCACTATGCATTTAGTGTGCTATGTCCTGAAAACTGCATTTGCATGTGTAGCTTTAAATGAATGTACCTTTGCTCTTTTGTACATTAGAAGGAAATAAACTTATAGTAAATTATGGATCATATGATATCTTGAGGGGATTTTGTTTTTATAATCTGTGCTGTATTTTCACACCTAGAAATTATAAAAGAAATTAGAAATCACATATAAACTCTTACTGTTAAATTTTATTATTTGATTTGGCTCCTATTGAATCCAAACCATTTTATGCAGTGCTAATTATTTAGAGTCTCAGCTTTGCTCTTGAGTTAGCAGTACCTGATCAACTTTCCAACTGTAAAACAGTTTGAAAATCAAATGTAGCTTACATGCAAGACCCAACAAAATTAAAAGTGTTAAGTGCGTTTTGGCAGTTCACTTTTATTATGCCCAGTCCTCAAATGTACCAGCAGATAATCATCTGAATGTTAGTTATTTTTCACATGCTTATGTGATCACACAAAAAGTACATGCTAAAAAGAAGCAGATGGTGACAGATGGGGAAGGTTGAATAAGGTGGTTTTGGAAACCTAGAGAAATGCACTTCTGTAATAGTGTAAAAATAAAAATTATTTGA